GCCCTAGTCATCACTGCCTTGACTAGTGAAACATATATTGCTTCTTGCACGCATGGTTGTTGCTGCCTATCGTTGAATACTTGTAAATGTAAAGATAATTCTATGACGTAAGGCCAATACACTATTATTAACCATTTCGGTGTTCTGCAAACAGAATAGAAGAATGGGTGAATTAATAATCAGATTGACAAATTATCTACAAAACTTATTTTCAATCATTAATAATAAAATTATTATTTCCAAAGTAATGAACCCATTTAACTATATCGCATGACCTCATTAAATCACTTATTACGACTTCTTAAAGTTTTGAAGATATTGCATCATTTCCTCTTTTAAATATACAAAAATTTCAATAGTAATTTAGTAAAGCTGTTCAATTTCCAGTACGATAACCATGGATATCTCATGAATGGGAATAACCTTTGTTTTATAGAAGCACAAAGGTCCATGATTTATTTCCATATCATTGGCAAGCCAAGTCACTAAAGCGGCATGTAAACTCACTTTGAAACTCAGTGTTGAAGGATTTATTGCTGCCCACTGAAAATGTAAACAACACACAGAACAGAACTTTTCGTTACGGTATCAAATGCAATGTACGTTCGAGCAAAGCAAATATTTCAGACAGCTCACCATTTCAATCCTTTGAAGGAACTGCTGTAAGTTGCCTTCTGTTAGGCACGATGATTTCAATAATTCTCCTAATCAACTTGATTTACATTTATTTGCTGATGACTCGAATCTTTTTTATGCTCATTTTGTTTACTACAACTGGAAACAATGAACCTCGTGAGGTATTTATCTGGCTTTGTGCCAATAAACTCTCTCATAATGTTGAGAAGAGTCTAACTATGTTATTTTTCGCCCACCTAAAAAATTAATTAGCTATTCAATTATTCCGAGAATGAACAATCAAACATTAAAGCATGAAAATCCCATTAAATATTTCGGTATTATGATAAAATCATATTTAAATTGGAAATCTCAGGTAATTTATATTACAAAGGCAATCTTAAGATCATTATGTCGATCTCAAGACTCTTAAAAGCTTGTATCACTCTCTCATATATCCATTTTTGATATATGGAATTTCCGCTTGGGGGAACACCTACAAATCAACTTTAGCCCCAATTATCACTTTAAGAGACTTTCAGTTCTACGAATCATCACTTTTTCTAACTACAATGATTACTCTATCCCTCTTTTCAAGGTTCTTCACATAACTAAATTCTACGATATCATCCTTCTACATAATGCATCATTTATGTATGATTTCCATTCTGGGACTTTGCCACCAGCATTCTACAATTATTTTACAGCTGTCAATAAACGGCACAAGTACAATACAAGACTTGCCTCAGGGTCTTCCTATACTCTTCCTCCGATAAGGATTAATTGTGGTAAACTCAGTATTAAATTTCAAGGTGCAAAAACTTGGAAGTCATTAAGTGAAAAAACTAGATCTCTCCAGAAATTAGCTTTCAAGAAAACTTTGAGGAAGGAAATCATACAGTTATATTAATACGCACTTATTTAGTTTTCTTCTCTACATTTATACTTTATTATGTGGTAAATAGCTTTACTTTTGCTTGTCTTTTTATTCTTGGTGTTGTAAATATCGTTGTTTTTCGTAATGAATTATTAGCATTATTATTATCATCATCATTTTGTTTTCTTGCCTTGTTGTAATATTAGCTTTTCACTTTGTTTTATATGTTTAACGTTGTATTTGTTAAGTTACTTTTGCTTTATATTTGACCGTAATTTTATTAATTTGTATCCTATAGATAGCTGCTTAATTTTTTTAGCCGCTTGGTTGGTATTTGTCAGCTACAAATTATTGTATTCCTCTTTTCTTTTTTTGGTATAAATAAATGTTGTTGTTGTTGTTGTTGTTCTGCAGCATGAAGCGACCAGGAGTATTTCTACTCCCCCCTGAATGGGATGCTACCCCATCGCAGGGCTACCCCTTAGCATTAAATTCACCGTTACCGATTTATACAAATGGCCGAAGAGAGGCTGAAGGGTGGTAATGGGTCCCAGTGGAGTGCACTGGGGCCACCAGGTGTACTTCGTAAATGTTGGTCAATCATAAAAATGTTAGTCAATCATAAAGATAGGGACATGGAACGTTAGAACGATTTACAGAATTGGGAAACAGCAGTTGTAGCAAGGTAGATAAGGAAGTACGGAATCAATGTATTAGGAATCAGCGAGTGCAGATGGGCTGGCTTTGGGAGAATGCGGACACAAACGGGTGAAACGCTGCTCTATTCAGGTTGAGAGGGTGATGCACACCTGAGCGATGTAGCCGTGATGTTGAATAAGAAAGCAGCTGGCTGCTTTATCGCTTTGTCACAGGCGAATGATCGAATCATCACAGCAAGGTTCAACTCGCGATATATCAGTACCACCATTGTCCAAGTGTATGCCCCAGTTAATGAAGGTGACGAAGAAGCAAAGGATGTCCTTTATGATCAGGTGCAAAATTGTATAGACAACATCTCGAAACACGATATAGTGCTCTTAATGGAGACTGGAATGCAAAGTGACCAGCAAAATGGCGAAGGAGTGCTAGGCCATCACCGACTGCATGGGGAAAGGTCAGAGAATGGATGACGCTTTGTTGAGTTGTGTGCAAGCAACAATATGGTCATCACAACAACCTTGTTTCCCCACAAAAATATCTACAAGCACACATGGGTATCACCTGACAACCGCACCAGGAACCAGATTGATCATGTCGCTGTGTGCGGAAAGTTTCGAAGATTATTGTTGGACACTCGTGCATCAAAAAGCGACCACCACGTAGTCATAGCAAAGGTTAACCTGCAGCTGTGTGGATCAGGTAAGAAAGTGAACATGCCGAAGATGTACAACGCCAAGCTCAAAGTGCCCGATACGGCACAAATATTTACAGCTGAAGAGGTTCTGGGGTTCCAGTGCAGGTTAAGAAAACTGAAAGCTTGATTAAAATCGATGACAGGACAGAATTAGAGAGAAAAATGGATTGCACCCGATCCAAAAGGATTCGAGAGAAACACAGGCACGCTTACTCAGCTAAAGGAAAGGAGGTGAAGAAAGAACTCAAACAAGACAAGAATGATTGGGCAGAGAAAGTTGCTGAAAAAGCACAGAAAGCCGCAGAGCAAGGTCACCTCATAACAGTCTATGATGTCACCAGAAAACTTTCGAACAAGAAGTAAGAATTAGGGACATGGTAAAGAACAAAGATGGGGTGCAGCTGACTAATCAAGATGAAATTGAGAAAATCTGGAAGGAGCATTTCCTTGAAGTTCTGAATCTCCCAGTACCTGAAGACACAGGACAAGTTGAAGAGGATGATGGGATTCCGGACCCTGAAATCGTTGATGCACCAAAAAGTGAAACCTTTGAGCCACTGGCTCATAGCTGCCGGAGCTTGTCTCGGTTTCTGTGGCATGAAGCGGCTAGGAGTATTTCTACTCCCCCTGGACGGGATGCTAGTAAATCGCAGGTCGCTCCCCCGCAATTTGTTAGGTTTCCCCAATAATTCGCCGGTACCCATTTATACTCCTGGGTAAAGTGTCTTGCCCAAGAGCACAACACAGTGTCCCCAGCCAGGACTCGAACCCGGGCCACTCGATCCGGGGACAAGCGCACTAACCATGAGGCCACCGCGCCTCCACTGTGATGATGATAAACCAACTAAGGCGAAATCTCTGCTTCGCTCAAGGGGATGAAGAACGGAGCAGCCGGTGGAGTCGATAGCCCGACCGTAGAAATTCTAAAAGCAGAACTAGAGGCATATGTAGATATCTTACACTATTTCTTGCATGAGGTGTGGGAACAGGGGCAACTGCCGGAGGATTGGAGACGTGGGCTGATAGTGAAACTTCCTATGAAAGGCGTTTTAAGGGAATGTAGCAACTGGAGGGATATAACGCTTATGGCAACAGCTGCAAAACTTCTGGGTAGAAGGTTTCAGGAAGGGACGCGCTACAGTAGAACAGATATTTATACTGCGCAATATCATCGAGGAGTTTATTGAATGGAACTCCAACCTCTATGTGTGTTTTTACGATTTCGAAAAAGCGTTCGATCGCTTGGATTGGGCCACCCTCTGGAGGATCATCAGGAGCTACCGCATTCCTGAAAAGATGGTGAAGTATGTACAATGGAAGTGCGTGCACTGCAACAGATGGGTCAGGTGTGTATGACTGCTTTGAAATCAAGACCGGTGTTAAACAGGACTTCTGTTGCTGTTTTCTTTTTCTACTTGTAATGGACTGGGTCATGAGGAATGCACGCATCAGATGGAAGTTCAGTAGCCTCCTGGAAGATCTTGACTTTGCTGATGACCTCTCTCTGGTCTCAAGCAAGAGAGAGCACATCCAGACTAAAGTCGACAGTTTGGGACACTATGGAAAAATGACAGGCCTCAAAATCAACACAACAAAGACCATGATGATGATGTGGAGCAGCCCTATAAGTGAAAAGGTTCAAGTTGATTTTGAAGAACTGACAGGAGGAGCAACAGTGGGAAGGAAGTTCAGAATAAGACATCAGAGACCGAGTTTGAAAAGCGAGAAGAGCATCCAGTAAGCTTAGAAACATGTGGAAGAATAACTAACTGAAACTGAACACTAAGCTGAAGATCTTTAAGTCAAACTTTATAGATGTTCTATTATATGGGTGTGAAACGTGGCGTATGACCAAGAATGATGTGACAAATCTTACATACGAGTTTGAAAAGGCGCATAGAGATCTACTGGCCTATGAAAATAACCTATGAAGAGATCTGTAACTGGGCTAACATCAGCCAAATCAGTGAAGAAATATACTAGCGGTGCTGTAGGTTGATTGGCCACAATCTCAGAATGAATGCTAATCAACATCCCAAGATGGCGTTAACCTGGGCTCCGGAGGGAAAGAGACGACGTGGTAGACCAAGGGAGACCTGGCACAGAACCGCAGGAAAAGATAGGACAGTGTTTGGTTTTACGTCGTGGAGCGGGGCACCAGTGGCCGCACGTGACAGCTTCGCATGGCGGAGAAGAATTTACGGCTCAATACCCCCAGGGGGTGGTGGTTAAAAGTGAAAAAGAGAAGTAAAGAGAGGCATTGGGGATTTAAGTGTCTTGCCTAAACCACAACATAATGTCCGGCCAGAGGACGAACCCGAAACGCTCGATCCGGAGTCAGGCGCACTAACCATAAGGCCACCGCGGCGCCTCTCATTTATAAAGGGAGATTTGAAATACACCAGGGAAGGCAAATGAGCTTTGTAACCTGTCTATGTGTTCTAGCAATTTTGAGGTTGACAGGCAAAATGGTCATTCTTCAAGTGCTGAAATGTTCCGGTAAACTGAAGAATTAACACAACTTTGCTTCTTAGTGTATGTGATCAGCTAGACCATGTACAACCAAAAACGTTGTTCATAAAAATATTAATCAACCAATGTCAGATCCTATGTAGTCCCTTTATTGCACAAGCAAGAGCTTTCTACAAAGATCTACAAACCCTTTTATGAAGGGAATATACCGAGCCATGATCACATTCGGATTTGAAACGACTGACTGGAGTAATACTTTTAAAGAACCGACCTCTTTTAAGGTTCAGTTCATACGGCAAGGTGCGATTGACAAAATCTAATGAAAGAGTACTTCAGCTCCAACTCCACTGTAGGACTCAATATCTGCAGATTGCTAAATAATTACATAAATAAAAACATAATTACGCTACTCGAAGTGCGTCCTTACAACACCTGAATCCAAAATCCTTTTGAATAAATATAAGAACATTTTGCCCCACTATTATTGGATGCTATTATTGGAATGACATTTCTTTATCTATACGTAATAGCCAACTAGAAAACTATTTAAAAAAGCACTTTGCCAGTTTTATTTTGCTCAGTATTAACATAAATGTATTTAATTCGGGGCGTATAATAATTAGTAAACTATACTTTGCCTTTTCCACTTCTTCTTCACTGCACTTGTTTTGTTAACAATATTGTATTTTTGTCGTCAAGTGGAGAAATACAAAATACAAATACAAGATTGCTAAAGATAGTTTATGCTAACACTCAACTTTAGCCCCCGATTTTAAAAGAGAACAAATTTTAACTTGGGAAAAACCCGGGTTAAAAACAGGGTACATTAAGTTGGTGTTCACCCCGTTTAAAATCAGGAGTTGGTTTGGGGTCAAGGGTCCTATCCCTAAGGATTTACGATCGCGAGTCATAAGTTTTCATGTGCAGGCTGTAGTGCCTATTATGTTGGTGAAACCAACAGACACTCCGCCACTCGCATCCGCGAACATCTTTCCTCTGACAAACATTCCCACATCTTTAAACACCTGAGAAGTTCTGAAAATTGTCGCCCCCTTTGTTCAGAAGATTGTTTTAAAACTCTCGATTCTACTTCCACAAGGTTCCAATTGAAAATCAAGGAAGCCATGCACATCCTTTGGGAGCAGCCGTCTTTAAATTCCCAGGTCAAACATCTTAATTTATCCCTTTCATACTAATTAGTCTCCTTTCTTAGCTTAAATAGTTTCACCCTTTTTTTTTTTGGGTTCGCACCATCACCCTTTAATCATCCTTGTTACATCTCACTTTGTTATACTATTTATCGCATATCTTCATTTTATTTCTCACCGTACAACTGGCCATGGATGATGACTCATCCGAAACATGTATTGTCTTCATTAAAACACGAACTTCAAAAACATCGTGTGGTTCATCAGTGTTATTATATTGTTTTAATTACTATTACCATCTTAGTATTTTGAGGGTGGAAGGTGAAGTTTCCTTACTGGGTATTGTAGTGAAGATGGACACTGATGAACAGATAAGTCTTGTTTTTTCCGTTTATTTTATATGATGGCGTAGCTAGTTACATATGTTTTCTTTCGCTTACGGCTTTTCATGAATGATTATCAAGGTAACACAAATGAAAAAAAAATTGTTTATTGTCGTTAAACTCCATGAATCCTTAAAAATCCTCAGTTGGTACGCAATGCATCTTCAAAGTCGACAATTAACTAAGTGTTTTAAGCTGCTCTTTAAGAAGCTAACTATCTGCATTCCCATTACAAATGCAAGCAACGAAACTAGTTATTTTATCACTGTTATTGCACTTAATTAAGTGGTTTGACAACACAATATCAGCTCCGCAGGTACAGTACGTGTCAAAATGTTCTAGGCAATTAACTTTTCACTAAGCTTTCACGGCTTCCTGAAAGAAGAAAAGAGAAAGATGGTCAGATTAACAGTCCAGACTTGAGTTATTTCTTATCTAGTAAATGCATGATTAAAATAGGTCATGAACAAGTTATTAGTATTAAGTGTTTATGCGTGCGAGGCAGGCACATTGAACAGTTCTGTTGCTAAGATCTATAATACCTTTTTCTTCTGATAAAGTGGGTCAACAAAAGTCGCAAGTTAACGAACATTTTTGCTTCATCTCAGCTGGTGAAGTATCGCACGCATTCTCATACACCGACTCTAAAAAGCAGTAGTAATCATCTCGGGTATTGGCACATGGAGCTCGTTTCTCTTCTTTAGGCTCCGCTAAAATACAAAACAAGGGAAAACAATTAAGTATAAATTCAGATTTACTTATTCACGATATTCTTCCGGTTGAGTACATAAGTAAGATATTTGAACGTGTTACAAAATGTTTTTGGAATGCATCGGTTTTTAAATATTATTTTCAAGAAATTAAACAATTGTGTGAAACACAAGAAGAAGAAACTGAAGTGATCATATCAAGGAGTTTTTAATTGAAGCGATCATATTTTTGACTTGTTGTCACATCGTGATATCGGATAGCCAAAATCTATAGTTTAGTGTTTTTTTAGTAATGAATATAAAAGCAAAGAATTTTGGAGCAAACTGTAGAAAGAGATGTAGTAATGGTCGTCATTTTTAGAAAGGTTCCTTTGCGGTCGTTTCATCTGTGTTTTTGTGAAATCACCAAACGCGTTTAAAATTGGAATCGTTTGGCAGGCAGGCTACAATTTAAGGTAAGTGCTCAAATGCGTTCTCTTGTTCGGGACTGCAAATGGCTGTAGGATTGTTTTTATTTTACTGTTGTTGTCTACAAAGAACAGGAATAAATGATCGTGATAGGATAGTTAAGAATCTTTATGTTTCACATATTTCCTTCAAGTAGGTTGGCTACGCTCTCCATTAAAAAAACTACATCTATAATTAATAACAAACATGTCTCACTTAAAGGAGTTTGAGTCAAGTTTATGCAAATTAATTGGGATTCATGGATAAAATTATTCGAATTTTCTACGATCTTTAAAACAAAAAACAATGCAGAACTCTCAGACCAAACGCGAAATATGAACCGTGTGAACTTTCAATGTTTAGAAAAAGATCTTCAAATGACATAAAAAGGTATGCCGTACAGTTGAATGGAAGATTTTATGCGGCAATGAACTTTTTTTCTCGTGTACCTGATGGTTATTATGAAAATAATGATGCTCTATTTTTGAGGAAGATTGTTGCAAGAAATAACTACCTCGACTGAAACGTACTTCTCGCTTTTCTACCCATTCACGCGAAACAGGCCAAACTTCTTACATAAATATTTTTTACAATTATTTTGAAGAACAAATATGAAAAGAAACGTCGTCAAAATGTGCAAAATCTTCAGTTATAAACTCTGTGAGAGATAAAAAGGTATATACTCATCACTGAGCACTGTAGATGTCCTCAGGTTTTTGGCGCTATTGTTTGCGCAATTTTGACAGACAATGTCTTACGCAAAAAAAACTGCCTATACCCTTGTCTTTGAAGCGAAATGTGATTTTCAAGAATGGTTTCCAAAATAAGCTATTCAGTAGAAAAGGGTATGAATTAAAGTATCTGTTTCGTCCTGACACCAATGCCTTAAGCTACTTTCAGTCGTAACATTTGTTTTGGCACTATTTTTAAGCACCTGTTTATGGTTGTTTTCGTAAAATTGAAATACTTGTAAAAATGGCTTACCTTTAAAGTAACCGCTTTTCCCAAGTGTTGTGGCAAAGTTTGCTTTATGGTATGGCAAAGCCACGGTAAAAGAAACAAGTATTGCAAGCGAAAGGAAGGCGAAGAACTTCAAACTCATTATAAACTTGATGTTACTGCAAATAATTAAAATGTCGAAGTTTTTAGGATGTGTTATTTGTTAGCAATAACGTCTTATCTTAGCTACAGCTAGGTCCTTTACACCAATTTTGTTTTTTAATTTGCACCTTTAAATTCACGAACAGATGTATCACGAACAGATGCAAAAACAACGTAACAATAACGCGGGAGTTATTAAGGGTTCTCAGCGTGCGATAAGACTTTTTGTATTATCTCAGTCACAACCATGAGAAAAACAACAATGTCCCACGACTTGGTGAATCGGACGTTGAACAAAAAACGTAGAAAGGAAGACTAAAGCCTGTTTTATTTGCAGCGTTATTTTTCGTCGTTATACGATAAGATTTTACACTGGAGTTATACCTTTTCGAGTGTCATGTTTCTAATCGCCTTGAAAAATGAATGAATAAAACGGCAAAAAACAATATTTTAGAAAAAAAGACCCAACTGTTTAAATATTTACTGCTTTACTACTTGGCTCGTTACACTTAGTTTTGTTATTTTTAAACCAAAGAAATGATGAACAATTTTAGTTTAGAATAAGTAATAACAAAAAAAATACTCACCCTTACGTTTTAAATGCCAATCAAGTAATTCAAGTTTCGGGATAGAAATTTTGAGTCACCTTGGTAAATTTATAGCGCCTGATCTCAGCAACTGTAAATAATTAATAAACACGCCTTCTTTTATCCTAGTGTTCCTGCCGCTGCTTATAATCACAAGCCAATGGGCTTCTTTCAATAGAAATGTGTGTATTGAACACAATGGAATACTCTTTAAGTTGTTTTAATAAAATTTTAACAGAAACTTCAATGTGAATGAGATTACTCCACCTTTTCTAAGACTCTACACAACGAAGAAAATTAAATACGCTACTGTATACCCCTGATGGCGCCAGATACTGTGTTGAAATGTTTCAAAAACTCTAAAAGGAAAATTTTCATTCCATTGGGCCTGTATTCACTTTCACTTTTCTATTTTTTCAAACACGTAATGATTGAACTTTTCTGGAGAGATCTGGAGTAATCAAACTGTTTGCATAGCACCTGGTGCTGATAATTAGCTAACAAGGCTGAAAGGTTTTTACAGACCTGTCGAGTTCTCGTAGCATGATTGCTTTGAAAGGTGTAAATTAGCCCAGAGTAAAAGCTCCATTAACCTGCTAAACTCATTTATATGCTAAACCGTTGTCAGAATCGTATTGTCAAATATTATTGGTGTGTTTCTTTTCGGATTTTTAGATGCTTTATGAGCTATTTTGTGTTTGTGCTAAAATTTCTATTTCAAGCATGTTAGATTTGCAGTTCCTCAACTACTCAAACATTAAAGGAAATGAAGCCGAATTTGAAGAAAATTGGTTTTTTATGTGAGGAGTTTCTAAGAAAACAAATAAAATGATTTAGAATCCTGTTTTAGTGATGCTTAAGAAAATTGAAATGTAATACGCAACGTGCAATTCATTCCATTTTTTCATTCATTTTTTTGTCCAGCATTTTTATCATTGAAAGGTGTTCAAAGTTTATGTTTCTCTGATGTTAGACAATGATTGAAATTCCAGTCTTTGGTTTACAAAGAACTTTGGCAAGTTTGTTTATAAAGAGTTTGTCATCACATGTACCTACTGTTAATACTCTAATTACCCGCATAGAATTATACGACAAGGCACACATACATAAACTTCATTCACTCTCGAATTTACAGAGTGGCATTTCGGCTAATTTCTTCGAGCCACTAATGTTTTATCTAGCTCGAAATAAACATCTTAGTAATTCCGTTTTCTTTCAATTAGAGTTATTTTCTGTGTGGTTGAGTTATGCTTACGAAATTATGACTGTCACTAGTTCGTTAACATCCATGCACCTGTCGATCAGCGGAATAAATTAAAAGGAAACACGGCTGGAGCCACGAAAAGGCAACTTACAAGAAAAACCATTTAGAGCGGTAATCTAGGATGACGGATGAATAAAAATAACGGGATATTATAACTGGAATGTCAAAGCTGGTCATTAATATGAATGAATATAAACGCACGCGCAGAAATGTGTGAACTTTTGAGCCAGGATGTTGCAACTTGGTCAGCTGCTCGGATGATATATTCACATTACATTGAAATAGTTTAAACTTTAAGTTAAGAGTTAAACTTTTAACTTAAGACTACTCTTTGAAACTGATCTAAAGAAGTTATAATCTTATTACAAACTTCAAAAATAAACATTTTACTTATATAAATCGATCTTACGTCGCTTATGTGCCTTTAGTAATGTTTCGCACGTTCTCTGTAGTTAAATCAGTTTCTGAACTTGTGGAGACTGGTGAATAAGTAGGGGGAATTGGGAAGAACATATAAGTTGCTTGATCTTGAACTCTTGCAAGGAGTGGGCGGGGAAGGGGGGGGGGGNAAAGAGAGGGTGGGTAATTATATTGATAAGTAAATACAAGAGAAGATGACGTTGATTCTTGGTAAATAATAATAGATTAGTTCTATTTCGCCATCAGACAGAATATAAGTAAAAACAACAATTGAATTTCCCGAAAAAACAACAAACAAACAAACAAACCAACAAGAAACAACGTTAACAATAGGAAATTGAAAAACAATCGAAAACACTTTGCAGACCAGGTCAAGTTATATAAGATTAACAGTAAGTAGCGAAATTGAAGCAATTGTTTCTTTAGCTAAAGAAAGCCCTCAAACAGCTGTGGCGAAATTTTGAGCTATTTTTTTTGGCAGTTTTTGGTTTCTGTTTTGTTTTCTTAAGACTTCCCAAAGATAGCTTTTTCGAGCTAGAAACAATTAAAAGAAAAAAAAGAAAAGAAAAGCAAAAACATAAAGAAAAAACAAACAAAAAAAAAAACAAACAATTTACGCGCCTAGCACTGATAAGATGAAAAAACACATGACTTTTGTATGGTTATGATTAAGGAAGATCACACGAACGACGAACGTGTGATGATGCAATTGGGTAAAACTGCCAATTTAATGACACCTGTACCGAAATTTATTACTCCAGTTTCGTGAGAACATAAAGGTTTACAACGTGTTGATAATAATCAATAATTACCAGGCGTCAAGGAGGATCTATTATAGGGGGTTGTACATTCCCCAAACCGCCATGGTTTGTTCAGTTTGAAACCGCAGAGAGCGTTCGCCGTTTTCCCCTGAAACCAAAACCGCCCTACTACTAAGAAGTAAGGGGGCTTATACAGGGAGTAACCAATCAGAAGGCAGGATTTTGTACCATGTGACCGTTCTCGACCAATTAGAAGGCCGGATTTGGTCCACGTGATCAACAAGATGGCTGACGGTGAACGTTTGCATTCATTAACTTTAAAACCCAGTCAGAAGACCGGATTTCTGTCGGGTAACTCTACAAATTTGCATAGTAACCCTAAATGATTTGCATAATAGCCCTAACCTTAACAACCATACAGAGACAGAGGGAAAGGTGAAAAAAATAATTGTATTCTTAAATTTTACAAAGTGGGACGTGTGCCGAAGTCCTAGTGACCGCAGCGCCCAGATAAGTTTTTAAGTTGGTTAGTGTGTGCGTTTATCAGGGAATATGTGGGAGAGAGTATGTTTTGTGAAACTGATAACTTTAATCGTTAGATGAATGCTATTTTAGAAGCAATTAATTTCTCAGTACAAACTAAAGTTATCTTAACATTGAACATTGCTTTTAGGAGCCGTTTTTGTTTCATCGTTGTTCTACTGCTCAAGAGCTGAGTGTAAAGCATCCATGAAAAGTGAGATTTTCTGATTGGTTAATCTCTTTACCACTCTAGTAGGATGATTTTCATCAAAACCGGTCTTTTACCAGTACTTCCGTCAGTAACCAGCGGACAAAAGGCTTTGAGGTCCGATTGGCCGTCCACAAACACAAAGATTGCTCGAAATGTTTATAACGATGCGTAAACGTTTTGAGGGCTGGGTGTAATATCTGTGCTTGTGTGATCTTTAAAACACGGATTTACGGACAAAACTGAAGCTTGTGAAGTTTACGTTACATTTCCCAGACCACCACAAAAACACTAGGGTCAATTTCCGCTGCTCTCCGGCGAGTCCGGTCCTTGGGGGAGGGGCGCGGGCTCCTTTCCCGAACAGCGGCTGGTATTTGAGCCTACAAAAACACGCTAAAATTCATCCTCGGAGAGCCTAGGGGCGACGCGATATTTTTGGACGAAGGTTAACATCAAGAGCGGATCTCCGAGGATGGCAAAATTGAAAAACAGCGAGATAAATTTATGATTTCCCGCAGCTGTGCCATAATTTCTTAACCCTAAATCGCCAGATAAGTGTGAATATACCCACAAACCGGCAATCAACATTGGCTTAAACCGGCAGGGTATAATAGACCCTCGTCAAACAAGTAACAAAAAAACTGTAATAACTTCATTCATGGCCAGAGTTTCCCAGTTAGAGCGTGGCGCGTTTTCGTTAATAGCGGGGGTCCGGAAGACAGTTGATTTAAGACAATCCGTCAGCTGAAACGACTGTCTCAGAAAGTCGCACGAGTCCAGTTCAAACATCACTGGCTCGTTCTACTTGTTAGGTCGGAAAAAATCGTAAGACACCACACCGACCGACACTCTATTGATGATATATTGTTCGCTCAAGATGCCAGAAATGAAATGCCCACGTGGAACTTAAGTGTACGTTGAACTGATGTCGCAAAAATAGCAAAAGTGGACTAGTCTCGACTACAAAGAGCAGACATAGAGAACAGAGAAATGAAAAAGTGCTTAAAGAAAGTGCTTAACTCTTTCCAAAACAATTCTTTTGGTTAAATAAATTGTCTGCGTGGACGTAAAACGTAGATGTGGACTTGTTTAGTGCATAATGCAATTTATATATATCTTGTATTGTGGCGCCAAGCACCTAATAAGAAGACTAAGTTGACCGCATAATGTGATCTTGTCTAATGGAAACGCCTCCGTATTTGTAATAAAACTTGTTATTATTAATACTGGATTATTCAACATGATCATTTGCTACAGGAAAGCGGCACCCTATGGGAAAACCTCAACCACCTAAATTGCTTAGAGATTAAATCTACGCGTATTCAAATCTTTCTCAACAAATATTAATATATTAAGACCGAGTTTACCAGAGGACCAGACGGGGGTGATACATGCCATCTCTCCTTTTTGGATGAAACTTTGCCAGATTGAAGGTACTACCCAACATCTCTAAAAGACAAAGTGGGCCGGC